ATTTCAGTCTCCTGATGAATATAAGCCTATCACAGTGGCCGTGCGTTCTAAGGCATGAACTACCTTCGTTCGCTACAACACTGGGATCGTGGGTTCGAATTTCATCCGAAGCATGGATGTCTGTGTGCGCTTATTCAGGGTTCGTGCTGTTCTGTGTGTAGGTAGCGGTCTCGCGACGGGCTGATCCCTTGTCCAAGGAGTCCTGCCAACTATATAGAAGATCAATGAACTGAAAAAGACGGCCAAGGGCCAACAAAGGGCTGAACAGTAATAGATAGAGAGTTTGAAATTAATGTCTGTTAATTATAATGATATTGTATTAGCTACTATGTACAACTAATTATATTATCAGAGCACTGTACGTGGAAGATGGTGTGTTCGAACACCCAGCTTTCAGTTGCATATCCTGGCTAAAGTTTTAATACTGCTTTTCTTATAAACCATTTGCAGGATATTGCTTTAACCATAAACACATATGACTGTCGACNCGTTTGAGAGTAAGTTTATGAAGAGGCCGAGTAAAGCAAGCAGAACTTACGCCAAATTAGGTAGAACTTTCAGAAAGTCTTGATTCCGTGTTGTTTCCTGATGCAGAAACTAGTTTAGACTGTGTGAGAAAATCAACAAGTTCCCCGTCATGCATCATTAATCTACGAAACTTGAGGAGACAAGCGAGACAGAGGTGATGCATGGCTCGGCTCTTCCTTGCGGCTTACTCCTCCTGCATCTAGAGATGACAGCTACAGACCGGATACAACTGGGTGTGTGACAAGAACATGCAGTTTCCTATTCTAGTGAAGAGGAAGAACACAAAATGGTTGGCAGAGAAGTAAGCTGTGAATTAGGGCCGTGCCATAGCTCAAGCGGTTAGTCGCTGGCTTCCCACCGCGGCGGTCCGGGTTCGATCCCGGGTCTGGTCAAGTGGGTTTTGTGGTGGACAAAGTGGCGCTGGGGCGGGTTTTTTCCGAGTACTTCGGTTTCCACCGCCAATCTTCATTCCACCAATTGCTCCACAATCACCCTCACCTATCATCTGGGGCTGGTACAATAGGCCAGAAGTGGCCGCAGTACAAGGGACTTAGTCCCACCCCACTAGCAATTAAAAAAAAAAAGGCTGTCAGGAAACAACACATTTGGGTGTTAAGCAATGAATTGGAGAGAACTCAAGGCATATCTAGTACCATGGAATTAAGCAGACAGGTACACAGAGATTCACAGACACACAGAAAGAATAGCAGTATTATACAACAGTCAACACAACAAATTCATAATAAACAAACTAGTATTGCTGCATTAACATTTGTTTATTTTGTGCATTTGCTACATGTTTCAATCCAACTGGATCATCATCAGGCAATTTTCATGAAATTGAATTGTATTGCTAATATGGATCCATATTAGTTGTCATAAATAAAAATTTCTTTATAATTCTTGTGTTTCATTACATTTGAATATTAGTCTTAAATTGTAAAACTTTATAACTCAGAAGTTAAAAATCAAAATTAATTTTTTTACGGTCTATGATGTTGTGGGGCACGCGGTAGCGTAGTTGGTTGAGGCACTATGCTACAGGCCGGAAGGTCGCGGTATCGAATCCCGATGAGGTGTATTTTCTTTTTCAATTGACCTAATCCTTCCAGCCGCACTATGGCCCTGGGGTCGACTCAGCCTCTAACAGAAATGAGTACCAAGAATATTCTTGGGGGTAAAGTGCGGCCGGCGCGTAGGGCTGACAACTTCACCGCCATTTGTGAGCCAATTTTCTAGAAAATGTGGGAGCCTCGTCCTCTCACAACCCTGTGAGCCTCTACAGCTTGTTACAAAGATAACTTTACCTTTTTTTATCGATGATGTTGTATCGTGGAGTAGAGAGGTGGTCTTCGAGTCTGTGTTGGTTTTTAATTTATTATGTGCACATATTGCATGGCGGTTTTCTTCATGTAAGTGGTGTGTGTTCTATTTCTGTTTTTCATGCTGTGGGTGACGATGGTAAAGTTACTGTGTATGTTGTATTGTGTTCTGTACAGGGCAATAGGTCTTTTTCCTATTAGACTACAGTTATTCCCCTTCTGTGGATCTGTTGAGAGGGAGGGGCAAGCAGATACCTGGATACATCTATTAATGGTAGCACTCATCACGAAGAGTTCTATGTTCTAGGCATATCGCCGTATAATCAGTTGAAAGCCAAACGAATTTTTGAACGAACTTTTCGTCTCAAAGTTCGGGTTTGGAAAGTAAGCAAGAAACCAGAATAAATTAGGTATGAAGAAGAGGGTTAATCTCGCAAGGCAAGACAAGGCTGACAGCTTCTTGCTCGTTTCTTGCTTCACTTACTCTTCAACTTTGAACATGGAGGCGACATGTTTCCCCAAAATTTTGACTTCCAACGGTCTACACGTTGATCTGTCCCAGAGGACATTAATATTCATAATATTTGAATGACGAAGTGCAAATAATGAAAAAGAGATATGTTCGCATTCCTGCAGGATAGAATTTTACAATTCATTAATATTATTATGAGTGCCGGGATAGCACAGTCTGTATTGCTGCGGCCTACGAGCTGGACCGTCGGGGGTTCGATTCCCGGCCGGGGCAAGAGATTTTTTCTCTACTCCACAGCTTCCAGACCGGCTCTTGGGCCAGCCCAGCCTCATATCCAAAGAGTACCGTGGGTAAAGCGGCGGGGGCGTGAAGCTGACCACTCACCTCCAGTGCCTAGCTAAAGATTCGTGGAGCTATACCTTCAGTCACCAATACGTTTTCATGGCTTAATTAAGCACAGGGACAACTTTACATTTTATTGAAGAAAGTCGTCTTCTGGGTTTAGGCGCCGTGTATTCTTCGTTTTGGCCGACGTTTCGGAGGAACGTATCGCCTCCATCTTCAGAGCAGGTGAATGGCTTGGAATGCAGAGAGCAGTAGCAGTAGCAGACGACTTTCTTCATAGTCATCGCCGTGAAAACCTCAAAACTTACAACTTTACATTTTATTGTTAGTACGTACCAGTAGCGGTGTTTGTTACTTGTATCGACTGAGACAGTGGAAGTCTTGCGTACTGTCGGCCCGGTTGCGGGTTCCTGTAGGACAATCGCTCCCTATACACGAAATGTATGAGCTGTCAATATCTGCTCGCCTGAAGTGACGTATCGAGCCTGCTCTAACCACCTGTTTGGCGTACTGAGCTCTGAGGCTTCGCTTAAAACTCTGAACCCAAAAACCGAAATAAGACTCATAGCTACGTTCCATTTGCACTTCTTTTTAATACAACTTCTTATAACATGCACAAATTCCGAACTGTGTATAAACCGTGGGCCGTGCAGACAAAATTCGCATTGTATGTTAAAATCATTTAAAATAGTTACTATAACATATTGCCTCATATCTGCCTTGTTTCGGGGATATTTATATAAAATAACAAATTTCGTTCGGTGCTTCCTATTCATTTGCATGTCTGCAAAATTTAAGCCATCTGATTGTGCTCTAAAACTTCTCGAATTTAAAAAACCTCAAACTTCTCATAAATTCGGAAATTAAACAGTGCACGTGGATAAACAGAGATTTGACACACCAACTCTGCCTTCTCAAAATTAACCTAACAGAGACTGACCCAGTTTTAACCAAATATACATGTGTCCCTATGCTTAACTAATTAAGCAGTTCGCCATGACGAGTTGATGTACATATCCACTTATTCTTGACTTTGGCACTAATTGGATTTGAGTAGTCAGCTTCACGCTTCAGCCCCTTTATCTCCGGGGAAAGGGCCACTCCCCGAATTCACTGGATAAGCGGCTGGGTGGAGAGTTGGTCTGGACGACATGAAGAGGACAAAAATATTGCCCCTATCGGGACTCGAAATTCAGATCCTAGGTCGTCCAGCCCGTAGCCAGACGCTACACCGACTGCGCTATCCGGGCTCATGTAAAATTACCCTAAACTCATGCAGTCTTACAGGAGTGCCCAAATGCGCAGGTGCATAAGCAGTTGGGTGCGCAAAGCTGTGATGCCCTAACCTAACCTAACTTAACCCAATCGAACAAAATTCTTGATGAATGTGCAAGGGCATGCGCAGTTGGAAGTTCAGTAATGTATATGTATGATTCAAATGTAAACCAATAAAATGATAACAATTATGACTCAGAGCACAATATGCTACTCTTGATTAGCTCTTGAAAATATCTGAGCAATGTGAGATGCTGAGCGATTTTTTCAGACTTATGAAACGCTAAACAGTTCCAAAAATATGTGAGTAAATTTCTTTTCTAAAAATTTATAATTTTAGTTAATTTTGAAAATTTAAAAAAATATTAGTTACGGACTATATGGTTCTCAAGTGGGACGTTGTTAAATGGAATCACAAAAACAAAACTCCGTTGCCTGTAGTCCACAAGCGAACTATACCGACCGAGCGACTGCCGCTTGTCGGCGGAGTTAGTGCCAACTTTAGCGGATAGAGGGTGTCTCGCGTGGTCAGCGCAACGGATCCACACGGCCGTTAATCTCGGTTTTCTAGACCGGAGACGCTATTTCCTTGAAATAGCTCCTCAATTATCCTCACGAGGCTGAGTTGACCCCGTTTCGGATCCACTACTTCTCAGAAAATCTGGTAGCGCCGGGAATCGAACCCGGACCTCTGGATCTGTAGCCAAGAACTCTGATCACTAGATCACAGAGGAGGTCTACAAGGTAAACTTTAGGATAACAAAGATAAATTTATTTATAGTGGAATATGTTTATGTGAGGTTCCATAATAATCATAAGAAATTATAAAAGAATAATTTGGCCTAAAATTCTAATGATTATAACAGGATTAATATATAAAAAAAGGTAAACTCAAAGTTGTATATATACAACAGAGATCGTTTTTATAAATAATACGCTAATTATCTCCTGAAGTGAGAATTTCACTTTTATTACAAGAAATTTGAATATCTGTTCTGTTAACTTGCATGCATTCTAGCCATGAAGCGAGATAATGTACGTATTGTTAGACTCCTTACCGCATGGATTTTACATGTGGGCGGTCAGTAATGGCTACACTTTCGCTGTGTGCCGGACAGCCACAACACGACACCTGGCTTCAAGGTCCCGCGTTGCTCTAGATAGACAATGAAGTTGAGGTAAGAAATATTGTACATACACTGCGAATGAAGAATAATATATACATTTACAAGAATAAATAATATACAAAGAGAAATAGAACAAATACGAGACACATAAGCTTCTGGCTCGTGTTGATTATGTTAATTAAGTTGGTGAAAACGTAACTAGAGTAAATAAAAAATGAAATGATTAGAATCTAATACGGATTTTTGTCAAGAAGGTTGAACCATGATATAAAGATATGTAAGAAATAACTTGAAAACTTGTTAAAGTTCAACTATTTTGGAAAGGCAGTAAAAAATCATAGTTATATAAAGGTGAAGCTATCCCTGTAACAGGCCGTGGAGGCCCATAGGGTTCTCAGACGACGAAGTTCCAATATTTTCTAGACAAACGTCTCATAGATGAAGGTGAGGTTGACAGCCTTACGTGCCGGCCGCCCTTTTTTTTTCCCCTGTGGCGCTACAGCCCCAATTTGGGCCTAGGCCTACCTCCATGAAACTCTCCGCTTCACTTCGGTTTTCTAGATCTTACACATTCGGCAGAACTCCTTGGGCGGGTGATCAGCTCGTCGCAAGGCCTCTACCTGTAGACAAACACAGAAAAACGCACACAAACATCCATGCCCTGAGTGGGATTCGAACCCACGATCCCGGCTTCCGAGCGAGTGAAGACAGTGCATGCCTAGACCGCTCGGCTACCGTGACCGGCGTCGGCCACCCTTTACCCCAAGAATATTCCTGGTAATCATTTCTGTTAGAGGCTGAGTCGACCCCAGGGCCATAGTGCGGCTGGAAGGATTAGATCAACTAAAAAAATCCAATGACCTCATGGGGTAATAGAACCCACGACCTTCCAGCTTGTAACATAGTGCCTCAACCAACTGCGCTACCGCGTGCCCCCTCATAGTCACATTCACGGATAAATTAAGAGTAAATTAAGCTCGGGAAGCACTTGCTACCATTCAGTTCAGTTCTCTTCCAAAACTAAGCACGTAAACGTTTGAACACAAGAAGGTGTAATTTTACCTCCTCTACTGTACTTTGTAGAACTTGGACGCTGAAAACGAAGGAAGAACATAAGTTGGGAGAGATACTGGGTTTTCGGACTTTGTCCATCATCCGGATTCTATATAACTAAGAAAAACACGACGTTTCGGAAACTGGATCTGTTTCCGTCCTCAGGTGAGGGAAGACACCTACTGTGTTGGGTCCCTTAGAAAGAGCTAGCCTCAATCACTAGACAACTGATGTCACAAAACACTTAGGCAGCGTCTACACGAGCGCACAAAATGCGTCCGTTGTAACGAAAGTATTTTGCTGAGGACACCACACAGCTGCAGAATGCGGTGCGTAGTTTCATTGCAGACAAAAAACTAAGCACCGCATTCTGCAACTGTGTGGTGTCCTCAGCAACGTCCGTCATAAAGTACGTTCGTTGCAACGGACGCATTTTGTGCGTCCGTTGCCTAAGGCTATAAACACCTGAGACCAGGCAAAGTCCATATGTTCCTCACATGAAGACGGAAACGGATTCAGTTTCCGAAATGTCGTGTTTTTTCTTAGTTATTTAGAACACCGGACGATGGACAAAGTCCGAAACCCCAGTATTTCTGTGTGTTATACACCATCAGAACCCTATAGTATCTATAAGCTGGGAGAGTTCGAAAACGGAATATTACAAAGAATATTTGGACCAAAGCAGGAGGAAGTAAAATGAAAATGGAGGGAGCTAATTAATGAGGAACTTAGTAATGTATATGCTTCACCTGATATTTTATTTCGAAAACCTGAAATGAAGAAACCGCTTCGGAAACGTAAGCGTGGATAAGATAATATTAAAACGAATCATAAAGGAACCGAATGTGAGGGTGTTAATTTTCCATAGAGGCAAGGAAATGAATGACACGTAAACTGAAAATGCTTCCAAGCTTGTGGAGGCCGCACTGCGGAGGAAAATGTGTGCCACAAATTTTACATCTCTTTAACGATCTGAGGACCAAACAACGATTTAAATGCCATGTTTATTATCAGGAAATTCATTGCTCGATGCCTGCAATATTACTCACAAGCGCAATGCAACAAAATTGCCGTAATAGACCCTACTCGTGAGGGGGGCCACGTTCGGTTAATTACTATAAGAAATCTGCTTCGAGGTGTTCCTGTTTGCCATGCTGGAGGTACTGGGTTTAAATTACACCCTCACGAGTGAACGTCTGTAATTTCTTCAGTTCAGAAGAGTGTTATCTTCTGAAATATAACACCATGTAGATCGTTAAGTATCAATCGATGTTTCGAAGGAAAATTTCGCACCCATTCTAAGGTTCAAAGAATATAACAAGGAAGAAATCAGCATGAAGTAGTCAACAAACAGATCTGATTTCGTGTTTGACTTATTCTTCGACTCTGAAGATGGAGGCAAAATTTTCCTTAGAAACTTCGATACAATTTTTCATAACCACCGGTGTGTAAACCTCAAATCCTGTTTTCTGCGGTCCATTCAGAAACAGTCATAGATAGTAGCTTAATGTAGGGCATTCATATTTCTTTTCTATCATCCACCTTTTTCCTCTTCGTAATACTCTGTGTTCATTAGTCCCTGAAGATAATAAAATAGATTTAAATATTGAACAAATAGAAACAAAAGACGTAATTTTCCGTTCCAAAACGGACCTCAAAAAAGCACAGCGTAAGGGACATAAAATGAAATGGGGTCCAACAGAACTAGAAACTATGAAATAAACATACAAAAGACACGTAGCTACAAAGGCTTTAAGAAAGCTGACAAAAAAAAATGGAGGGAGCTAATTCCAATTATCTAGCATTATTTAATATCTATGGCTCTTGAGCCCTTGTGGACTTTGACAGCTTTTTCAGTTTCTTAATCCTATACACATTCGTTAAGACTCCTTGGACGGGGAGTCGACCCATCGTAAAGCTGCTACCTACATACAGAACACAAACACAGAAAATAGACGCAAACAGACATTCATGCCTTGAGTGGGATTCGAACCGACGATAACAGCGTTCCAGCGGGCGGAAACGGTTCATGACTTAGACTACGGAGCCACTGTGATCGGCACCATTATTGAGTATAACCTGACAAAACTGAGTCGACGTAAAATTATCGCGATATTTTGAAGGGCGCAACAAAGGGGAAAAAGCACGTCTTACGAAAACTCAACCACAGAGTTTGGAATCTGAGCTTGACGACGTATGATATGAGGCTGGGCAGGTCCTAAGCCGGTCTACACGTTGTGGAGAAGAGCAAAATATTTTGGGCCCTTCAGGAATGGAACCCCCAATTCCTCAGCCGTCCAACCGGTAGCCCCGTCGCTACACCGACTGAGCTAAACCAGCTCGTTACAAACTCGAAACGAGGTTTAAAACTATGCGTTTGTGACATCTATCGGACTTGTATTAAACTACTTGTAGACAAGGCGCATGCTGCAGCCATCTTGTTTCGTTTCGATCGTGACGGAACGTCATAAACGCTGTAAGAAAGTTTAGTTTGCATATAAATCCGGATAAATTAAATCAGTTTTCAAAAAAAATATCTTATTACTGTATGTAAATGTCTCACTATGACCCAGATGAATATTACAGCCTTTCTTCTTCACAATAGACACCACGTGGATAAAAATACAATATTTGCAGTGCAGTCCGTTTCAACCAAGCTTAATTTTCAAATATCACATCAGTGTAATCATAAACACAATTAACATAAGGGCATAATCTTTGTTAGTATACTGGCTAATAATGAAGAGCTGTGCAGACCGCCTCTGTGATCTAGTGGCCAGAGTTCCTGGCTACAGAACCAGAAGTCCGGGATCGATTCTCGGCGCTACCAGATTTTCTGAAAAGTGGTGGAACCTGAACGGGGTCCATTCAACCTCATGAGGATAATTTAGGAGCTGTTTCAAGGAAATAGCGGCTTCGGTCTAGAAAACCGAGATTAACGGCCGTGGGGATTCGTTGTGCTGGTCACGCGACACCCTCTATTCGCTAAAATTAGCACTAACTTCGCCGACAAGCGGCTGTCGCTCGGTCGGTATAGTTCCCTTGCGGACTCAAGCCGCGGAGTTTAGCTTAGTTTTAGTTTTAGTAACATTTGCGCTACTCGTCAAATATCGTATCATCAAATAATAGGTGAACAGATGGTCGGGGCATGTAGCATTCATGACAATATGAACATTGCGTACAAAATTTGTATCGGAAAATCTAGCGTGGTAGTCAACACACATTGAAAACCTGAACACATGTCACCAAGATACGATGCACGAAATACACATCGCAAGCACACAGCACAAGCAAGAAAAGCAGAACAAACAATTAAATTATTTTAAGTTATTCTGTATATTAAATTATTTAAATAATAAACATTTCGGACGTACAAAACTCACGAGCTGTATAATACTGCAATACAACGTAACAATTTACGCGAATCGTCATATATATATATATCTGAAGCCGGGATAGCGACTGGCTATGGCCTGGACGACAGAGGGGTCGGAGTTCGAGTCCTGGTGGAGGCAAAAATGTTCACTTCTCCACGTCGTCCAGACCGGTTCTGGGGCTCGCCCAGCCTCCTATCCAATAGGTACCCGGGGCTCTTTCCCCCGGGATAAAGCGGCCGGGGCATGAGCTGACCGCTACCAACTAGTGCCGAGGTCAAGAAAATGTGGATTTATACATCCACTCCCCTATACACCTTCATGGCGTGGTGCTTAATTAGTTAAGCACAGGAACAACTTTACCTATATTATGGCCACGTGTGGCACAGACATGTAGCTGAATTTTCGTGAAAGCATGAGCTAAGTGCTGATTCGACCAATATTCTGTGAAGCTAGACTGAAAACTGTATTTCTGTGTGTGTTTCAAGCGATCGTACTTAATGCTTATAACTGTGAGTATGTCCATATTAGATTATTCTTGTACATGTTTAGTTATTTCAAAATTATAGGCCCAGGAATCCTCAACAATAATTTAGAATCAC